CACACACACTCACTCACTCACTCACTCACTCTCTCACACACACTCGCTCACTCACTCACTCACACTCTCAAACACACACACTCACTCACTCACTCACTCTCTCACTCTCTCACACACACACTCACTCACACACACACTCTCACTCACACACACACTCTCACTCACACACACACTCTCACTCACACACACACTCTCACTCACACACACACTCTCACTCACACACACACTCTCACTCACACACACACTCTCACTCACACACACACTCTCACTCACACACACACTCTCACTCACACACACACTCTCACTCACACACACACTCTCACTCACACACACACTCTCACTCACACACACACTCTCACTCACACACACACTCTCACTCACACACACACTCTCACTCACACACACACTCTCACTCACACACACACTCTCACTCACACACACACTCTCACTCACACACACACTCTCACTCACACACACACTCTCACTCACACACACACTCTCACTCACACACACACTCTCACTCACACACACACTCTCACTCACACACACACTCTCACTCACACACACACTCTCACTCACACACACACTCTCACTCACACACACACTCTCACTCACACACACACTCTCACTCACACACACACTCTCACTCACACACACACTCTCACTCACACACACACTCTCACTCACACACACACTCTCACTCACACACACACTCTCACTCACACACACACTCTCACTCACACATACACACACTCTCACTCACACACACACACACTCTCTCTCTCACACACACACATAGTGTCAGACTGTCACTCGATGCTCTCTGTCCTCCATAGGTGTGTGAACAGCAGATGGGATCGGCCTAAAGCAGACGTCCTGCCGAATGAGTCCCGTGGCTCCATCTCATCTTCCACAGATGCATCTGGAGCTCCGCAGGGCGGCGTGGAGATGGCAGCGGCAATGGCGGCCAAAATCAATGCCATGCTGATGGCCAAAGGCAAACTGAAACCACTGCAGCCGCTGCCCAGTAAAGTACTGACTGTCCCGCAGCCATGTGTCCCATGATGCCCTGCTGTCGCTCCGTGAGCTCACGCGTGTTTGTGTGTTTGCAGGCGCCGCCAGCTTTTCCTGTCGCCGCTGAGGAGCTCATCGTGGCTGAAGTCGACATAAACGACATGCACATGGAGTGCAGGGATCTCCTGACCAAAGGCAAAACTCAGGACGAGGTTTGTGACGACACACACGTGACACTGGCGTGTCTGTCTGCACACGCGTGTTGACTCTCTGCTGTCTGTGCTGTAGATCGGGCAGCTGAGTGGTGCAGTGGTGTCCACTAAAGGCCTGTACATGAGTGACACAGACAGGAGCGGCAGCGCAGGCGTGTGAGTATCAGTCCGGTGACGTGTGTGTGAGTGTGTTCCCGCACGCGTGTGTCGTCTGCTCTCTAACGCTCTGTCTCTGTGTGTTCAGGGCGAGACCGCTGTATCTGCATGTGCAGGGCCGCTGTCGGGAGCAGGTCAACAGTAAGTGCTGGAGTTCAGTCTCTGCTGCAGTCTTGCGGAGACCGATTTGGTGCCCTAGGCAAGAGTTCAGCTGGTGCCCCTCGCATCGCAGCCAATTCCACCACCGATCATTCACACAGAAACTGCATAGCTTTGACATAAAACAAATGACATAAAACTAATTACATATGAAATAAATAAGACAATAAACTGACAGTAACTCAGCTAGCTATTTAAATTAGAGAACCAATTTTAGGATTTATCGTCCAAAGGCAGCTACAATACTAACATTTAAATCTTAATTTCTTCATTTCAGACATTCTTAAATTTATGGGTTGCACTGATCTTAACTTTTCATATCAGAATCCAATACTGATTTTTTATGTATTTTATTTAAGCAAAAGACAAGAAAGAATAGTAGTTAGTTGCTTTATTTGCCTATATTTTGATCTAAATTAGACTGTATAATTTCAAAACTTGAAGGAAAAACAGAATGGTCTGACTTTATCTTTGTGAAATAAGGCTACACAAAACATAGCAAACAGCAGATGGGCTGAATGAAAATGTAAATTCACTCTCTGCCAGCAGGTGGCACTTAAGGAACAGCAGTGATGCATTTTTTGCTTGTTTACCGCTGTAAACACAATGCATTCCAGAGGCAAGATGAAAGGAAAATGCCATCTAAACCGTTTGAGACAGTCAGTTGCCCTCAGAGATACATTCATACTTGTCGCATTGTGAACAGTGAGCTTGCTCTGGCTGCTAATGTATTTTCTGCTCTTTGCGTCTCTGGCCTCTGAACGCTGCTTACAGGCTCTGAAATAAAACACAAAACCGTCCGGTTCTGATTTATGGCCGATGGTCAATCGGTGCATCGCTGCTCAAATTCAAATGTTAAACTGCTTTTATTTTGGTAGTTTGCCAGCAAATAAATAAATGCGCTGCATGTTTCAGAGTGTCATGGGCTGCACTCGAACACATTACCGCTTCACACTGAAAACTGCAGCGCAAATCGCAACCTTCGCGATATGACTTTGGCATTAAGCCATAATGCGATATTGATTATATTTCGATATATAGTGCACCCCTAATTAAAATAATATTATTATAAAAAAAAAAAAAAACATTTGGGCGCCCCTAGCATTTGCCTATTTCTCCTATGCAACGGGCCGGCCCTGCGTCACATTAGTGCAGTTAGCACCCACTTTACAAACCAAGCAGATTTTTATTGGTTAAACGCTGCACATTCATGTGACCTGAAGATGAATAAAACCTGCAAACTCCTGATTGCATTGATTCCTGTTGAAATGACTGGATTGTGCAGGTTTCCCAGAGCAAGACTACATGCGAGACAGGCATTAAAGTGCACTCAGCTCACACTCACTGCATGTAATCGGCTCATGTCTTATTTTACTGCATTAGTGCACTGAGCCTGTTTTACTGCACATTACACACTGATTCTCTATAAACCTCTTCATCAGTGTGATCTCTTACACTACAGACATTAGTGAAGCTTTAAACGCTGCAGACACTCTCACACTCATCATCACTGACTCACTCCTGATAATGTGCTTTACCGCCGCTGATGGAGTGGAGCTGAACAGGAGGTTGTTGTGTTTGTCAGAGGCAGTGGCCAGGATAAAGGAGATCATCTCTGAGGACGTGCTGCGCTCGTCGGGTGGACAGCAGCCCGCTGTGATGCCCACTGTACCGGTGTACCGTCAGACCCTCAGCGCCGCCCCCGGGCACAAACCGGCCCCACCGCACACGGGGGTAAGAGAGTGTGAGAGAGAGTGTGTGTGTGTGTGTGTGTGTGTGGAGGCTAAGAAGGCGGGGCCTCGGAGCATGTGGTCTCTGCTGATACACGCCTCCTACAGAAACAGCAGCCAGAACAACTCCAGCCTACAGACAGAGGTCAGAGTTCACTGCGCCGCTGACACGTGTCTGACCCTCACTCACTGATTCTAACATCACCTGTCGGTCCAGACCTGATGCAGCCTTACATCTGCCGAAACTCTGAGACTCGTGCAGCCGCTGCGTCTCCTGACGATATACTGACATCTTATGAAGCGAATGAGAGAATTCATTCAATTGTTTTGCATACACAAGACTCTCAGCGCGTGCACACACACATACACACACAGACTCACATACTCACACATACTCAAACACACACAGACTCACACACTCTCTCTCACAATACACAGACACACACTCACTCACACAGACACTCTCACACAGACTCACACACACACACACACACACACACACACACACACACACACACACAGACTCACACAGACTCACACTCTCTCACACTCACACACAAACACACACACACTCACTCACTCACACACTCACACACAGGCACACACACTCACACGCACACTCACACAGACACACACTCACTCACTCACACACACGCTCACACGCACGTTCGCACGCACACAGACGCACTCACACAGACGCACTCACACACAGGCACACAGGCACACACGCACACTCACACAGGCACACACGCACACTCACACACTCACAGACTCGCACATACTCACACAGACACGCGCGCACACAGACACGCACGCACACAGACACGCACGCACACAGACACACGCGCACACACACACACTCACACAGACGCGCACACACACTCACACACACGCGCACACACACACACACACACACACACACACACGCACAGACACACGCACAGACAAGATCGGAAG